GATATGCTCTAAGATTAGATATTTGTTTAAAGGCCTTCATACATTCCTCACATTTGTAGGGATTCTCTCCAATATGAATTCTCTTATGTGTCTTACAAGTTGAGCTCACTGTAAAGACGTTATCACATTCTTCATATCTGTAGGGTTTCTCTACAATATTCTCTACTAATTGACATGCGTCTAAAGGACTTGCCACATTCTTCACATCTGTAGGGTTTCTCTCCAATATGTATTTACTGATGTACTCAGAGATGATATGTGCCTAAAGAACTTGTCACATTCTACACATCTGTAGGGTTTCTCTCCAGTATGTATCTGCTGATGTCCTCTAAGAATTGACATTTCACTAAAGGACTAGCCACATTCTTCACATCTGTAGGGTTTCTCTCCAGTATGTATCTGCTGATGTCCTCTAAGATTTGATATTTCATAAAAGGACAAGCCACTTTCTTCACATCTGTAGGGTTTCTCTACAATATTCTCTACTAATTGACATGCGTCTAAAGGACTTGCCACATTCTTCACATCTGTAGGGTTTCTCTACAATATTCTCTACTAATTGACATGCGTCTAAAGGACTTGCCACATTCTTCACATCTGTAGGGTTTCTCTACAATATTCTCTACTAATTGACATGCGTCTAAAGGACTTGCCACATTCTTCACATCTGTAGGGTTTCTCTACAATATTCTCTACTAATTGACATGCGTCTAAAGGACTTGCCACATTCTTCACATCTGTAGGGTTTCTCTACAATATTCTCTACTAATTGACATGCGTCTAAAGGACTTGCCACATTCTTCACATCTGTAGGGTTTCTCTCCTGTATGCATTCGCTGATGTCCTCTAAGATTTGATATTTCATAAAAGGACAAGCCACTTTCTTCACATCTGTAGGGTTTCTCTTCAATATGTATTCACTAGTGTACTCTGAGGTGACACATGCCTAAAGAACTAGACACATTCTACACATCTGTAGGGTTGCTCTACAGTGTGTTTTCGGTGATGTCCTCTAAGACTTGACATTCGATTAAAGGACTTGCCACATTCTTCACATCGGTAGGGTTTCTCTCCAGTATGTATTTGATGATACACTGGAAGAACTGACATTTCACTAAATGACTGGCCACATTCTTCACATTTGTAGGGTTGCTCTTCATTATGTACTCCCTGATGTGCTCTAAGACATGACATGTAACTAAAGGACTTGCCACATTCTTCACATCTGTAGGGTTTCTCTCCTGTATGCATTTGCTGATGTCTTCTAAGATGTGACATTCGATTAAAGGACTTGCCACATTCTTCACATCGGTAGGGTTTCTCTCCTGTATGAATCCACTGATGTCTTCTTCTAAGACTTGACATGTCAGTAAAGGACTTGCCACATTCTTCAAATCTGCAGGGTTTCTCCCCTGTATGAATTCACTGATGTCTTCTAAGAGTTGACATGTCACTAAAGGACTTGCCACATTCTTCACATCTGTAGGGTTTCTCTCCTGTATGCATTCGCTGATATCCTCTAAGATGTGATATTTGACTAAAGGACTTGCCACATTCTTCACATCTGTACGGTTTCTCTCCAGTATGTATTCGCTGATGTACTCTAAGAGCTGACATGTGACTAAAGAATTTACCACATTCTTCATATTTGTAGGGTTTCTCTCCAGTATGTATTCTCTGATGTAGTCTCAGATCTTATCACTGAAGGACTGGCCACATTTTTCACACCTGTAGGCTTTCTCTCCAGTATGGACTTGCTGAAGTGCTCTGATTGACATTTGACTAAAGGACTTGCCACATTCTTCACATTCATAGGGTTTCTCTTCAGTGTGTATTTGCTGATGTACTCTCAGATGTGACATTTGACTAAAGGACTTGCCACATTCTTCACATCTGTAGGGGTTCTCTCCTGTATGCATTCGCTGATGTCCTCTAAGATGTGAGATTTGACTAAAGAACTTGCCACATTCTTCACATTTGTGGGGTTTTTCCTCCGGTATGATTTCCCTGATATAATTTCAAACTTGACATCGAAGTAAAGGACCTGTCACATTCTTCACATCTGTAATGTTTCTCTACATTATACACCCTTTGATGTCTTCTAAAAGTTGCATTCTCCATGCTGGTTGACTACAGTCTCCCCCCTCTTCACATTCCAGGGCTCTGTGCTTTGCTCCAGACAGGAAACCAGAACAGGCTTACACACAGCAAAACCTACAGACACCAGATTGCTGTAGTTCTCCAACATCACCTCCCTGTACAAAGCCCTCTGAGCAGAGTCTAGGCATTCCCACTCCTCCTGGGAGAAGTCTATGGACACGTCCTTGAATATCAGTGGATCCTGAAAAGAAGCCATCCCTCTCCTCCCTCTGTGAGTCTCCTTTCCAGGCAATCTTACATAAACTGTCTTCTCTTTCTTCTGAGAGACTTCCTTTCAGTTCACTGAAAATCCATGTCACCTGCCAACATAACAAGAAGAAGAAGCACCTGCAAATTCCTTGGTTTCCTTTTCCTTCACCGCTGAGTAG